CAAAAAGCAAGTATAAGTCACCTTCGTTTGGCTTACTGTTTAAAGTCTATTTGTCAGTCACTGTTATTCACTCATAAACCAGAACTTTCTTTAACATCTATCAATACTTTCCAGTGTTTCTGGTGAATATCTGCAATTCTCAGATTGTTTCATTTCATACTTAGGTTATTTATCGTGCCATTTAGTTCAAGCAAATACATGTTTACGCTCACCGAATGTTCTGTTCCAGTCAATCAGCCTTGCCAGAAAAACAAATAGCTAAAAATCTTATTTGATGAAACAAGTTATCCGTTTTTTTTTTCTACAGCAGAAAGCAGAAATTAAGTTTATGAGATGAAAATAGAAACCAAACAAACACAAACAAGAACAACAAATCAGAGGACCCAAAAGAATTTCTATGGAGGGAGAGAGGACACATTTCTGATTTATTATCCGATGATGAGGGCTGGCTGCCTGGACTGAGGTGTTGTCCCTCACATAGGCAAGCAGAGTTTCTCTATCCCATGCTCTAATACAAAGATAGGTATGTGTCTTCTCACACACATTCAGACAGACTCTAAGTCCAAGCACATACTTGTGTATATACCTATATGCCTCTGCCATGATATAATCCGACTATGGCTGATACACTGGTCCCATTAGTGTATACCTTCTTGCTTCAGTGACATCTTTCAGCTTGACAAGGATGCTTGCTCCATGCTCTCTCAAGTCTCCCCTGAACTTTCTGCAGTTCCTACCCCAAGGTGCCCATATTTCTTCATTGAATCAATTGCTAATTGAAATTATTTCCTTTTCTGTAGCACCTGCCTAGCAGACTGGGCCCTTCCCATGAACAATGGCTTTACTTTCTTCATTCATTTTTCTCTAGTACCTAAAACAGGTACTTTAAGCCTTTAGTAAATGTTTGTTGACTGAATAAAGAAACGAGCATGCTACTATTATGTTTTATGTGTTTTAATCTTCTTGACCGCAGAAATTGTATCTTAATTGTCTTTTGTATGCACAGAGGGCCTAATAAACATTCCTGATTCTGTCAGTGATTTAAGAGGCAATGACTCATAGGCTTACATATCTTACTTTTTCTAATCTTTGGCACATTAGCAGATTGTGTATTTTTTTTTGTGTGTATGTTGACGACGTGAACGACTGAGTGAATATGCAAATAAATATTGAAAGTAAAAACATGAACCTCAAATGAAAATTTTGTATTGGCTGGAGATGGCCCAGGAGGTAAGACTACATACATGTTCTGTAAGCACGAGTACTTGAGTTTGAATTCCCAGCATCCATGCAAAAATACAGGCTTAGATATGTGTGCCTATAACCGCAGCATTGGGGGAGGGGAGGGAGACAGATGGATCCTGATAAGTTTTCTGTTTGTTTTTGCTTTTGTGACAAGATCTAATGTAGCTCAGACTGTAGTTCTTTAACTCACTATGTAGCTGGGAATGATCTATTTGGGTCTGGGGTCACACAATAATGGGAGACAGACTACCAAAGTCTATTAATCCAGAAGCAGATTTTATTCCAGAAAAAAAAAACAAAGAAAGAAAAAAAAATTACCATGGGGCACAAAAGCTTATCAGCCAGCTGAGAACACGGCCAGTGTTTGGGATTCTGAGGTTGTGGCAATGGTGGCGGGTTCTGGTCCCCTTTTTATAGTTAGGGGGAAAGTGTCAGGCATGGGATGCATGATGGAAGTCATGTAGAAACATCTATTAAAAGTAAACTTTGGTCCAGGCAGATGTTGACTATAAGGAGTAAGGGGGTTAAAAGCAGAGACTCATTGTTAGAAGTTAACTTTTCGAGTTGATGACTGCCAGCTTTTATTTTTTAGGTTCACAATTTTATGATTCTAAATTCCTGGATCCTTTAATTTTAGACTTTGGATCCTCCTGCCTCCACTTCCTGAGTGCTAGGATAAACCATTGCATTAGGTTTTTGAAATGTTGGGGGATCAAATCCCCTCCTCAAGCATGCCATGCACTGAGGTGCAATCCCACCTGTTACTTCACTGTTTTTATACCTTCAAAAGAGATTTGAAATTATTAATCTGCAACTGTTTTAATGTGTATATGTAGACATCCATGTTTTGAAGAAAGTTATTTTTCAAAAGATACTGCAATTGACCCCCCCCCAAAAAAAAAAATTAACCCTCATAAGATTTGTGGATCTGACATTGCATTGGTCAAGATACTACCTATTATTATTGGAGTAGAATTTTACAAATATCTCAAGCTAGCCTTGTCCATTTATGGCCAGGTGGTTGTGTCATTGTGGCCCAAAGGCATTGCAGAAAGAGCTAAGATTTAGGTGGGAAAACTGGTGGTACACTGGGATTCAGGATGCTTTTATGTTGTTTTCTTCTCAACTATCAACCTGGACTCTGGATATATGATAGTTGCTCTGTGAAGTAATGTTCAAAGGAATTCCATTAAATGAATGTTTCATCAATGGCCGTGATCCTTCCCAGGTTTTGGCGCTCTCCTGGTGCAAGAGAAGCTTGCTGTGAGTGAATTCCCTCCTGTGCTGTGACTCCAGTCCAGGATTTAGGGCAGAGCAGGGTTCTCAGGCCTGGGAAGCTCTGTCTTAAAGCAGAAACCTCTTAGACTTCTGGGTGAGTTTGCCTGTGAGTGCAGGGTGTGGAAACTGGTCTGCTGGGTGGTGGGATGGGATATATAGCACTGGACCAGAAGTTTCCAAGAGGGAACTGAGGACGTGGAGTTGAATAAAAACTTCCCCCTTTAATATTACTGAGGAAGTTGGAGAGCTCAAAGAGGAAGCCTAGTGTACTAGAGCCCTGTTGTCTAGCAACCAGAGACTCTGGTCTAAACTGTTGTGTTTGCTGGGAACTGCCCCTTGGGCCTGCCTGTGGGAAGCTCCCAGAAGGTAGTTCTTGGTGGAATCACCCTGGTTTATACCGGTCCAGCCCTTCTAATCTGGGTTTGGGCTTTACAGAGCTGATATTGTTAGGTCAAGGCAACTTGTGTCTCTAGCCTGTCCTTGAGTCCTGGGTGAGGGAGACAGTGGATTCCTTTTGGAGCCTTCCAGGTACCGTGAAGCAAGATTTTAATTGAATTAAGAACAATTTTTTGTTCAATTTCAGATCTTGAGTCAGTGGTCACCAAGGATTCAAAGTGGACATGTTCTCTGTCCCTCATGGATTTTAAGTACTGAACTGTATTTATTAATCTTTTCCCTCTTCCTTGTTTATGAAGTAGATTAGATTTCCTGTATCTCTTCCATTCACTTGTGTTCACATCTTTAAAATTTGTATAGACTAATTCAAAGCCACTGATACTTTTACCGGGAGAGAAATAATAATAACGGGAGGTGGAAATGGTCATTGTTAAGAAACAAGGAAGGGATGAAGCGGTGACTCAGTGGTTAAGCTCACCCAAGACATTAGTCAGCAATAGTAACTACACACTAGCAATACCATCTCATACTCGAAGTGATTTGAGTGGGCCAGGAGCCTTGCCATTCCTCACTTGCTTTTTTAAGTACTGTATTTCAGCAGGAATGCAGACATTGGCATGCAATCCAAAGCTCAGGCGTCAGCCATTTGCATAAAATAAATAAATAAATAAATAAATAAATAAATAAATAAATAAATAAAAATAAATATCTATTCTTTAGTCCTCACAACAGGTTGCTTCCTAAGGCCTCTGGTTTCTGTACCTGCAAGGGTGGAATACTGGGAAGAGATTCAGAGGCTGGGTATGAATTAAGGCTCTGTAGTAAGTGGCATGCAGTTAAGACAAGTGACATTGACTTTTCTGGGTCTCAGCTTGCTCAGTGTAAACATCAGAAGCTTGGGTGTTTTAACTTTAGAAGCCCTGTCCAAATCGTTAGATTCTCTAATTGGGGTGCTGGTAGGTGGATGCTAATCCTGTAGACTCCAGTATGCCCCTTATAGCAACATTTCCCTTTGAACACACTTATTTGTATGGAAGGGGTTAAACTCTCCCTACTTTCACAGCTGAATTTAGGTTCCAGTTCTCTGAGAAGGACAAACAGGTGTCTTCCCATCAAAGGGCCATTTATCTACAAGGCCCTTACATTCAGGGTCTGGGGAGAGAACAAACCCAGAGGGTCTAAGTCAGCCTCACAGTATCTCAAGGACAAACCCAGCAGCCCCCTTCTGAGTCATGTCCAAGCTTGTGCAGATGTGTCCAAAAATGAGAAGACTAAACCTCAGCCAATTAGAAATATACTAATATAACTGCTACTTGCTTAACCAAGCAGTTATTATGTAGTTGACCCTGGAACTCCCCTTAGCTGTACTTAAAAGGAGCCTGCATGTCCCTCTCGGGGTGGTTGCCATTTTGTACAGATGACCGACCCCACATGCGTGCTGGTATAGTAAATGCTCTTTGGTCTTGTATACTATTTGAATCTGGGGTCTTCCTTCAATGTTTCCTCGGACCCTACAGTATTTGAATGAATCACTTTCTTTTTTTTTAATGAATCACTTTTATGCTGTGTCATTCTGAGTTAACTCCTAGCTAATGGACTGAACTCTCTCATTGTCTAGGCTTTCTGCTAAGTCTTGAGATGTAAAGTGAGCAGCCTCAGTAGTCATGGCTTTTAGAAGCTTACAGTTTTACTGAAGATCACTTGGTGCTGTTCAGTGTTGCAAACACTTTACCACATTGTTTGGTCTTCACATGTGCACATACCTACACACAGACGTACATAGATGTGCATTATCAGCAAACAATCTTAAGAAATACAAATGCAACCTTAACTTTACTGCTTCCCAATTTCTATACTAATACCTATCTATATGTAATACATTATCTATGCTATATATGTATATATATGTATGCACACACACATATATATACACACACACACATATATATACATACATATATATATATATATATCCTTTTTGAGTGGAAAAGTAGACATTGAATTTAAATCTCAGACAAGAATATAGAAGATATAATGGAGAACTAAACAGAACTTGAGTCCTGGTTAGTCAGAAAATAGTCTTTATTGTAGCATTTAAAATTTTTTTCTCAATAAAAATGACAATTAAAATATTCTGTGAAGAATAAAACCTAGCATGAGTAGATGGCATGCTCTCTGCTGAGTTGCTCTTCCAATGTTGTGACCTGTCAATAAAACACAACAATTAAAAGCTCCATTTAATTTCCAAAAGAAACAATAACTGAAATACTTTTGTATGTACTCTCATGTATAATTTATGGAGGTTTAATGAAAGAAAGAAAAGCTGTATAAAATGAAAAAATATTGATTGGTTTTTTTAGATTTAAAGATAAGGTAATCAAGTCAGAGAAGATTTTTTGAGCTCAAAAAATGGAAACTTTCAAGACTTACTGAACTTAAAATCTTTGCAATGTTGCCTAATAATAGTATCTTGCCAATATATATTTCTAGAATGCCTCTTGTGTTCGATGTATAAATATCTAAAGTAGGCAAACCCACAAAAAATTAACTTCATTTTGGCACTCTACCATGCCCAGTTTAAGTTTCTGAGGAAAATTCAATTCTTTTATGTGAAGTTTTAAATATGATCTTCATTTCTGTAGTGATACTCGCTCCAAATTCATCCTTCCAACATCTAAATTTTCTCCTCAGTTTTGAATTTTAAGAGGATCATGTGTGTGCTCAAAATTCATTCTTTTTGTGTGCTCACTACCCCCATTCACTGATGTATTTCCATTCACTTCCTACCATGTAATATGATTTTAAGCTTTGGACATAATGGTTACCAGAAAAGAGAAAACAATGAAGGAAAGCTGTCCCTAATTTTTCAGTGGAATGAATAAAAGCACCAAAAGTGGTCATTTCAGAATGCTTAACACCATGAAAAATATATATTGGGTTAATAAATATGATGGGGGACTCCTCACAACATCCAGTATGTGTTGATGCCTTCCTTTGCTTTGTGTTCATATCGCTTTGTATGATGTTTCATGTCTAATCCCTTCAATCACTCCTCAAGTTAAGGTGTCTGGCTCCAACACCTACATATTTAAACCTTACCAATATTCCTGTCTTTTAAAAAAGATGCCAACTAATCTAGACATTTTTAATACTGACCAATACAAATAGAAAGGAAAACATATCAGAGGTCACAGGGCTTAGATGGAACATAACTACAGACAAAGCAGTTAAAAGCCAGAGTATCTAATGGTCTTTGTGGTAGTTGGAATGTAATTGGGTCCCGTAAGCTCAAAGGGAAAGGCTCTAGTAGGAGGTGTGGCTTTGTTGGAGGAAGTGTGTCATTGTGGAGGTGGACTTTGAGAGCTCATATATGCTCGAGTCATGCCTAGTGAGTCAGTCTACTTCCTGTTGCATTCTGATCAAGATGTAGCCAGTGAGGCATCTACTTTGAATTGCAAAACCACTACTGTGAACATTTCAAAACTTAATGATAAGACTTAAAAAATAGCCAAATCACTATTTTCAGTGAAAGTTGTCCATGTGATAATATTTCTTTCCAAATTTATCATTTCTTAGAGATTTTATTTTTAATTTTGTGTCATGTCTATGTCTGAATGTTGGTTTGTGCAGGTAAGCTCAGATGCCAGAAGAGTGTATTGGATACTCTGGAACTGGAGGTCCAGACAATGGTGAGCTGCCTGGGTACTGCAAACTGAACCTGGATCCTCTGAAAGAGCAGTATATACTTTTAACCAATGAGCTACCTCTACCGTCTTCAATTTATAACTTCCTACAAATTTTTAAGTGAGCATGAAAGTCTAGTTTCTTCCTAAATCCAATGTACTTACCAGAGCCGATTATTTGGGATGGACAGTTTTCTCTAAAATGAATTTGCAAAACCAAAGGGGCAAGAACAGTCAAATAATTTCTGAATAATTTGGAGAAAGACAAAGATAGAGAAACATTTCCCAATCAGGTATCAAATTAGATATGAGTTGTATTTAATTTGTTTTTGTCTTTTTACTCGAAAGGGAAAATATCAGTGGAAGAGGTTGTTGTGGAATATTATTTTAAGATGGGTTACATTTGTTTGTGTTGTAGAACATTTGTTTTAATGATGCAAAGATGTGTTGCATTCTTTTATGTTGCATTTGTTTAACTCTGTGAAGCTGTGTTACTTTGTATGTTGAAAACACCTGATTGGTCTAATAAAGAGCTCAGTGGTCCGTATTCAAGACAGGAGAAAGGATAGGTGGGGCTGGCAGGCAGAGAGAATAAAGAGGAGGAGAAATTTGGGAAGAGAGGATCGAGGAGCAAGAAGGAGGAGGACATCAGGGTCCAGGCACCCAGCCACACAGCAAACCACAGAGTAAGAAGTAAAGAAAGGTATACAGAAATAGAGAAAGATAGACGGAATAATTTAAGTTAAGAAAAGCTGGCTAGAAACAAGCCAAGCTAAGGCCAGGCATTCTTGAGAAAGAATAAGCCTCCCTGTGTGATTTATTTAGGATCTGGGTGGCAGGCCACCAAAATGGTGGGATTAAAAAAACAACAACCAACTACAGGGGATAATCATCCAAACTAAATATATTTGTATATAAAATATGGTGAGTGCTTTATATTCTTATAGAAACAACCAAGTCATCTAGGAATTGAAAACAGTAGGAGCTAGAAATAAAACAAGATTTAATGAAATGATGAAAACAATACTGTCTAAGTTTGATGTTATTATTTTCCCTTTTTGCTTACGGCAGAGATTATCTTGGCAGTCACTTGTTGTACACTTGGAGCAGAACTCTCCTTTTATGTAAGGCTTGGTGTCTCTATAATTTCCTCTGCAAAAACGGAGAACATTCATGAGCCAATGATGCTCTTTTAACTTTTTTAGATCTACATTTATGCAAGCTGTTTCTGTCTTTCAGTAAGTTACACATTAGAAAGAACAAGAGCAACAGCTGTTGTTCAACAGAAGACTCATTTCCTATGTACTAAGAAACCATCAAAACTCCCCCTTCATTTCTTTCCTTTCCTTTTCTTTTTCTTCCCTTCCTTTGTCTTTCTCTCCCTCTTTCCTCTCTTCCCCAATCCCCTCCTGCCCCTTCTTCCTTTCCAAAAGCCTGAATTGTAAGAAAGTGACATTGTCCTCTAGTGATTTTCATCAATGGTTAGCCTTACTTGATTTCTTCCAAAGAAATGTGATGCTGCATGACAGCAGTTACACAGTCCTGTTGCTATGTGGAGAAATGGTATTCTCCCTTTCTTTGGGGGCAGTGTTTGTCATCCTGCTTTAGCTGCTCAGTGAAAGGCAGAAGAAAGAGCAGCCATAGATACACACATGTCCATCTCTCACCTTCTTTTCATCAGTCCTGTGTATTTATTCTTTGTGTTTTCCTTTACAAATCTTTAGCTTTAAAATTTGTTTGTTGAAGAAACAAGTTGTCACCTGTTTAAATATTCCTTTTATATTTGTAGATATTTGATTTAGAGTCCTAAATTTCATTTTTAGACTTCATTATGTTTATATTTTCACTTGAGCAAGAACTCTCGACAGGGCATTTAACAATTACATTCTTTCCTCAAAAAATTGCTCTTAAGAAAGTAATTTCATTCTTTTCTTATTCCATTGTTAATGTTCATTAGAGCTGCATTTGCTAACCTTTTTGTGTTTTACGTTTAGGTCATCTTATGGCAGTTTATTTTAAATTACCTTTGCCTCTGTGTTCATGTGCCTGTGTCCATGTGTGTAAAGACGACTGTTGGGTGTCTGACTCAGTCCCTCTCGAGCATGTTTTCTGAGACAGTCTCTCACAGACCCTGTGGCTCACTGACTGGTTTAACTGGCTGAGCCGGCAAGTACCAGGGATCTTCCTGACTCTGCCTATTCGGTAAGGGCAGTGCTGGTATTATAGGTAAGCCCTCCGTGCTTGGCCTTTTACGTGGGTGCTGGGGACCAAACTCAGGTCCTTATGACTCAAGACAACCATCTTACTGACTGAGTCATCTTCCCAGCCTCCCCTTTTTAAACTTTAGAATCAATTTCTCTAACACAAATTGTTAAATGGTTTTATAATAAAAATCCTGGAGCCAGATATTGACATAATTGCTGAAATACCAGAGAGACAAAGGAACCTCTAGGACTCCACAGCCTGAAAAAGCCTTTAGTTCCTGTCTCCTCATGTCTTATATATCTTTCTCTGCCCAGCCATCATTTCCTTCTTAGTGCTGGGATTAAAGGCGTGTGACTTCCCAAGTATTGGGACTAAAGGTGTGTGCCACCACTTCCTGCCCTCTTTGTTTAATCTAGTGACTTGTTCTGTTCTCTGATCTTTAGGTACGCAATATATCACCACAAATTTCTATCATTTCTCTTTTTATGTTGAAATAGTTCATGAATGGAGAGACTTTTCATTTAGGCAATACTTGTCACCATTCTGTTTTCATTTTTAAAATTTGTTTTGCAGAGGGAGACTGCATCAAAAATACTTTAGGGTCTAGCATAAGATTTTGTTTTGTAACATTTGGGTTTTGTTGTTGTTGTTGTTTGCTTTTGAGACAGAGTCTCTCTATGTAGCACTGACTGGCCTGGAACTCATTATATAGACCAGGCTGGCCTGGACCTCACAGGATGCTTCTACCTCCTGAGTGCTGGAATGAAAGGTGTACTCTACCACACCCAGCTTTGTAAACATTTGTGATCACCTTAGAAATTTTTTTCATTTCAGCAAATTAACTTACGGTGGTGAATAATTACATACAAATAGTCCAGTTGAGGTTCCCAGTTTAGGACAATTTGAAATTGCACACCCAACTCTAAGTGAATTGGCCCAAACTACCTATAAGAAAAGGAATTAAGAAGTATCATATTGAAACAATCCTTGTAAACAATTCATTATGAGAATATGTACAATATTACTTACATACATATATTTATTACATTTTTTCCTAATATCTAACACATTAAGTTATATTTTGTTAAAGTGGCCTTTGTAGGGGCAATTTAAATGGTTTTCCTTCTGAAATAATTATCATAAACCAAAAGGATAACTTAATAACTAAGCCATAATATAATACATGGTTAAAATCATAATTCCTTCTAGAAACTAAGGAAGCATAGTTTAATTCTCTGTGTGGGCATATTACAAGAAACATCAAAATCAGACTAGTAATGATTATAACAATTTCCATACATACATACCTTGACAGCAACCAACAGTTCCCTAATTATACCTAAGGTCCTCTCAACAAAAAGGAAATCATGTATGTTACTGGAAACCTAGCCAACTATCTAGAGAGTGAAGTCATGGATCTTGGACTAGGACCTACAACTGCCAATTTACCCAAGCAGCATAAATCTTAACTGCATTCTAAATATTTATCCTAATGTCCACAATAAAGTATACATCTTACCCTTCGTCAAAGAAACATCTCCTTGCAACACATGGATATCATTACAGAAAGCCACAATGCAGAGAGCGTGTGACCCTGTGGTGTCCTAACCCAACTGATACATCTATAATACAACTCTTGTACATAGACTCAGGATTCATAGTGGGAGAGAGGGTATAAGCTACACCCATTGAGTTTCATCAACATGGATCCCTAAATGAGACCTGAAGAAAGAGCACACCAGTAGACATGCTAACGAGGAAGTGAGGCATCTCACTGGGCTTCAATGCTGGACAAGATCTACAGGCAACTAAGGAACATTAAGAGTGGGAGAAGTAGTCTTCCCCAGAGAAGAACCCCCAAATTTGTTATGCAATACCAAGTGGTCAGACCTGAAATCATATACATATAAGTACCATTATATAGACTGAATAGGTTGTATTTATGTATTTAGGCACACACGTACATATGTAACCACAATTAAAGAAAGAGAGGACATGAATTTGAGAGAGAGCTAGCAGGGGTACAGGAGAAGTGCTGGAGGGAAGAGAGGGATGGGGGAATCTGATGTAATTATAATGTAATTGCAAAGAGGAAAAAGAAAGTAAACTAAATCCAATTAATGGGACATTGGCATGTGGAAGAGATGACTGTGAGTAAAAGACACAGTGATAAAATTATCAAATTGATCACTGAGAGAAAAATTCCATAAACATAAGAGAGGCACCAAACTGGCATGGCTCACTCACGCTTCCAACACTGGTAGCAGGCCACTAGGACGAGGGAAAGGGGAGGGAAGTGTTGTAAGGATCAGCAACCTAGGGTTTGCAAATGTGTTTTAATCTATAGACTTGGAATGCTAAGCTCAAGATTCTATAGCACAAGGAATGTGAAGATGTCCCGGACACCTGATGTAAAATTGATGAAGACTGGAAGTAAGTCAACACAGTCCTAGGTGTGGAAAAGCCACAGGGCTGAGCAAGAGAATCACAGTAGATTTCTTGTTGTTAGTAATGTGAAGAAAATGGCAGCAGAGTAGCATTTTTTTAAAGATTAGAAAAACTACACTCAGTACATGGAATACCCAATAAAATGGAGTTTTTAATGAATGTAAAAGAAAATACTGAAAAATGTTTCTTGTAATTAAAATGAACACAAGAACTACTTAACAACCTGTCACGTAATAACCTGTCAAGTACATACCTGTGTATAATGTCCACAAACTTTAGAACATGCCATGGTCTCAAAATTATAATGTTGACTTTCATTATACCAATATGTAATCATATGTTTTGGTGTAGTTTGTATTCCACCTAAATATATGTTTTCTCCAAGAAAGTCATAATCTTTAATGCATCCATGTCGTTTACTAGTACAGGGGTTATGAGCAAATTGGCACTTTTTACTCCATGATTCAGCCACTTTTGCTAATTTCTTATCCCAATACTGAAAAAATAGAAAACAATTAAATTAATTAGTACATATTTGCTTACAATAAAATCACTCTTATAACTGTAATAAATTCAGTTAATTGTAGATCTTTTAAAGACACCATTTTTAAAAAAGTATTTGTTGTTTTAGTTATTTTCTTTTCTTTCTTTTTTTTTTTTTTTTGTTTTTTTTCGAGACAGGGTTTCTCTGTGTAGCTTTGCGCCTTTTCCTGGAACTCACTTGGTAGCCCAGGCTGGCTTCGAACTCACAGAGATCCACCTGGCTCTGCCTCCCGAGTGCTGGGATTAAAGGTGTGCGCCACCACCGCCCGGCTAGTTATTTTCTTAATACAATAATCAAATACCTGAAACACACAGCTTAAAGAAGAAGTTACTTTGAAATCACCATTTCAGAGAGTTCAGGATATGGTGGTCACTTGGTGCCATGTTTCTGGGCCCATCATGAGGCTAACACCAGGGACTTCTATATGGTGAACAGGAAGCAATGGACACAGGAAGTGGCCAGGTCAAGGCCAGGGGCCCTCCCCAACTCAGTCTCTGCAGAGACTAACTGATGTGGGATGGTCTGTAGGTCAAATTGCTCTGATTGGTTAATAAATAAAACACTGATTGGCCAGTGGCCAGGCAGGAAGTATAGGCAGGACTAACAGAGAGGAGAATTGAGAGAATTCTGGGAAGTGGAAGGCGGAGAGAGACACTGCCAGCCACCGCCATGACAAGCAGGATGTGAAGATGCCGGTAAGTCACGAGCCACGTGGCAAGGTATAGATTTATAGAAATGGATTAATTCAAGATATAAGAACAGTTAGCAAGAAGCCTGTCACAGCCATACAGTTTGTAACCAATATAAGTCTCTGGGTTTACTTGGTCGGGTCTGAGCAGCTGTGGGACTGGCGGGTGAGAGAGATTTGTTCTGACTGTGGGCCAGGCAGGAAAACTCTAGCTACAACTAACAATGGTCCTCCAAACTGTAACCTGTCCTAGTAAATCAAACAAGCTGTATCACTCTAACACTAAAGGTCTCCACTCAACTTCTCCTTGCAATAGGTATATATATATATATATATATATATATATATATATATATATATATATATATATATATATACACACACACACACATACACATAGGCTATTTTTCTCCTGCTTCAACTTCCTCTTTTTTTTTTTTTTTTTTTTTTTTTGGTTTTTCGAGACAGGGTTTCTCTGTGTAGCTTTGCGCCTTTCCTGGATCTCGCGCTCTAGCCCAGGCTGGCCTCGAACTCACAGAGATCCGCCTGGCTCTGCCTCCCGAGTGCTGGGATTAAAGGCGTGTGCCACCACCGCCCGGCTCAACTTCCTCTTTTATATCATGACTAACCACTTACTTTTCTACCTAGATGTCCTGGTTAGATTTCTTTGTCAACTTGATACAAGCTAGAGAAATCTAAGGTGAGGAACCTCAAAAGATCAAATGCATCCATCAGACTGCATGGGGCAAGTGTGTAGGCCTGGATGTTCTGGATTAAGGACTAATGTAAGAGTGCCCAGGCTACTGGGGACAGTACCAGCACTGGGCAAGAGCTCCTGGGTGGACTAAGAAAGTGAGCTGTGCACAGCGCGGGAAGAAAATCCGTAAGCAGCGTTTCTTTATGGCTTCTGCTTCAGTTCCTGCCTAAAGATTCTTGCCTTGAGTCCCTGCCCTGAGGTCCCCTCATGAAGGGCTCTAAAGTGTGTGGTTAAAAAAAAAACCCTTTCCTCCCCAAGTTGCTTTTGGTGATAGTGTTTTTGCGAGCAGTAAAAACTAAATGAAGACACTAGACATCACCATGTGTGTTAACTACTGAGGGCTTTCTTCCTATGTGGAACTAGTGCCCATCACTGTCTTCTGGCTGGTTGGACTTACACCCGTTATCTCTACATTACCACTACCAACGAGACCTCTCAATAACCCTTTTTTATGGCCTCTTGATCTAGGAGAGCTCTTCAACTGGTGTCCCTCTTAGTCAACATCAGCAGTAGAACTAGATAACATTTCAGTGGCCCTTGATGTCCTTCAAACCTTAATTACCATTGTTCCTATAGTACTCCCAGACTGCCATGTCTTAAACACAGAATGCCTGCCTGGCTCTGGGACAGAAATTCTGTGCCTATTTAATTAATTATTGAATCATATGAGGTGTAGCTAAAAGACAAAACAAAAACAACACAAACAAAAAACCCAGACAATTGATTTAAGAGCCTTCTGCTTAAACTATTTCTTATGGATAGCACACCCTTTCTCACCAAGTAGTTCATATTGGCTGCCGGGGGGTTGACCTTGCTTCGAAGTTCATTATGGCTGTCGACAACCTCGTGTATAAATTTCTGGTCATAGATAGATGGTACCTTGAGACTTTTGCCCAATGTCTTGGGAAGTTTGCTGGCTAACAACCATAGACTTAATGTCCAGAAACAATTAAGTTTCTTCATCAGGACCATGGAAAGATGTAGAGGATACCCCTACTGAAAACGCCAGAACAGGGATCACCCTCTACACAGGCTCTGCCTTCTGATTAGGCTGGTCTTCTGTGTAGTGAGCAGCAGACTGCTTCCCTGGCTTCAGTGTTGCCATGGAGACGGATGCACACAGAGTTCTGAGCCACTCCTTAAATTCTCAGGGAAAGCCTGAGGCGCCCTCTGGTGCACAGTTCTAACCAACCAACTTGCTTTCTGAAGAGCTAATCTCAGCATGGAAAGCCTGGATTGTGAAAGGGGATGTCCCAGAGTGCTGAGGAGGGTCAGGTTGACCCATGCAAACAAAATACCGTGACTTTGCTGCACGTATTGGAGCCGTCGGTTTTATCACTGTACTCAGGAGACGGAGTCAGGAAGTGTGAGTGTGAGGCCAGCCTGATCTACACATCATCGACTTCCAGGCTAGTCAAGGGTTGAGACCCTGTCCGGATGGGGGCAAAAGAGCAAATAATTTATGAGTTTCATAGACTCTGTTTCCATGCTTAGCTTTTTTACTCTTTTAAAATAAGCTGCATATTATTTTATTCCTTTCTTCAGAAGCTGGGAACATAGTCTAGGCAACTGGTAATCCCATGGCAACCTATAGCATTCAGTTATTACCTTGTCAAATATTTAGAATTTTGTTTCCTTTTCCTTCTGAGTGATTATCTGGAAAAATAAAAATACTATAGGCGTGTGGGAAATTAGAGCCAAATGAATTCTTCTTGTAAAAATCTCCCTATTGTATGAATACTAGCAGATTCTAGGTCATCTGTGTTCTGCAGGCTAGGACTCTGAGCAGAGTATGTTGCTTATTCACTTTCCTGAAAACCAAGTATAACTCACCTTTCTAACACGAATCCTAAAAGGTCTTATAATTAAAAAACCCAAATCCAGACATTGAGGTGAAAGCTGAGTGATCAGAGAAGCAGAACAGCCAGCCACTAGCTCACCTCTACGAAATCCTCAGCCTCAAGGAGAGAGTTCCTGTTTCTTCATGCCTTATATACCTTTCTGTGGCCTGCCCCATTACTTCCTGTGATAAAAGGCACGCATCACCACTGCCTGGCTCTGTTTCGTGTAGCCCGGTGGGGCCTTGAATTCACAGAGATCGCAGACATCACAGACTCTGCCTCTCTAGTGATAGGATTAAAGGCATGTGTGCTACCGCTACCTGACCTCTATGTCTAATTTAGTGGCTGGCTCTGTCCTCCGATCCCCAGACAAGTTTTATTGGGGTACACAATATATCACCACACACCTTCGTTTGGCTTACTGTTTTAAATCCATTTGTCAGTCACTGTTATTCACTCATAAGCCAGAACTTTTCTGTAACATCCATCAATACTTTCCAGTATTTCTAGGTGAATATCTGTAATTCTCAGGTTGTTTCATTTCATACTTAGGTTATTTATAGTGTCATTTAGTTCAAGCAAATACATGTTTACACTCAATGAATGTTCTGTCCCAATCAGTTAGCCTCGCCAACAAAACAAATAACCAAAAACTTATTTTGATGAAATGAGTTACCATTTTTTTTCTATAGCAGAAATTAAGTTATGAGATGACAACAGAAACAAACCAAACACACACAAACAACACCAGCAAATCCGAGGACCCTCAAGAATTTCTATGGAGGGAGAGAAGACATATTTTCATACCTTCAAATGAGATCGAAATTTTAATGTGAAACTGTTTTTAATGTGCATATTTAGACATTTTTCGAAAGATACTGCAGTTGACAAAAAAAATTAACCCTCATAAGATCTGCAGCAGATCTGACATTGCATTGATCAAGATACTACCTATTATTATTGGAGTAGAATTTTACAAATATCTCAGGCTAACCTTGTCCCTTAATGGCCAGGTAGGTGTGTCAAAGATGTTACAGAAATAGCTAAGATTTAGGTGGGAAAACTGGTGGTAGACTGGGATTCAGGATGCTATTATGTTGTTTTCTCCTCAGATAACCTGGACTCTGGACATATAGTAGTTGCTCTGTGAAATAATGTTCAAAAGAATTCCATTAAATGAATAATCCACCAATGGTCTTGATCCTTCCCGGGTTTTGGCGCTCTCCTGGTGCAGGAGAAGCTTGCTGTGAATAAGTCCCCTCCTGTGCTGTGACTCCAGTCCAGGATTTAGGGCAGAGCAGGGTTCTCAGGCCTGGGAAGCTCTGTCTTAAAGCAGAAACCTCTTAGACTTCTGGGTGAGTTTGCCTGTGAGTGCAGGGTGTGGAAACTGGTCTGCTGGGTGGTGGGAGGGGATACACAGCACTGGACCCAGAGGTTTCCAAGAGGGAACCGAGGACGTGGAGTTGAATAAAAACTTCCCCTTTTAATATTACTGAGGAAGTTGGAGAGCTCAAAGAGGAAGCCTAGTGAACTAGAGCCCTGTTGCCTAGCAACCAGAGACTCTGGTCTAAACTGTTGTGTTTGCTGGGAACTGCCCCTTGGGCCTGCCTGTGGGAAGCTCCCAGAAGGTAGTTCTTGGTGGAATCACCCTGGTTTATACCGGTCCAGCCTTCTATTCCTGTTTTGGGCTTTACAGAGCTGATATTGTTAGGTCAAGGCAATGTGGCTTGCTCTGTGTCCCTAGCCTGCCCTTGAGTCCTGGGTGAAGGCAACAGTGGATTCCTTTTGGAGCACTTCAGGTACTGTGAAGTAAGATTTTAATTGAATTAAGAACAATTTTTTGTTCATTTTCAGATCTTGGGTCGGTTGTCACCACAGATTCAGGGTGGACTTAGTCCATGTCCCTCATGGAATTTTAGTACTGAACTGTATTTATTAATCTTTTCACTCTTCCTTGTTTATGAAGTAGATTAGATTCCCTTTATCTCTTTCATTCACTTGTGTTCTGACTCTTTAAAATTTGTGTAAACAAAATCAAAGCCACTGATACTTTTAATCAGGAGAGAAGTAATAATAATGGGAGGTAGAAATGGTCATTGTTAAGAAACAAGGAAGGGATGAAGCGGTGACTCAGTGGTTAAGATCACCCAAGACATTAGTCAGCAATATTAACTACACACTAGCATCTTATACCTGAAGTGGTTTGAGTGGGCCAGGAGCCTTGCTGTCCCTCAGTGCAATCCAAGGCCCAGCTTTCAGCCATTTGCATAAAATATCTATTCTTTAGTCCTCACAACAATTTGCTTCCTGAGGCCTCTGTTTTCTGTGCCAAGCAAAGGTAGAATATTGGAAGGATATTCAGAGGCCGGGTATGAATTAAGACTCTGTAATTAGTGGCACACATTTAAACCAAGTGACATTCACTTTTCTGCGTCTCATCTTGCTCAGTATAAAAATCGGGACCTTATCAGCTGGTGGTGGTGCATGCCTTTAATCCCAGAACTCGGGAGGCAGAGGCAGTCGGATATCTGTGAGTTCGAGGCCAGCCTGGGCTATAGAGTGAGTTCTAGGAAAGGTGCAAAGCTACACAGGGAAACCCTGACTCGAAAACCAAAACCAAACCAAAACAAAACAAAAAACCCAAAAACCAACAAACAAACAAACAAAAAAATCAGGAGCTTGGGTGATTTTAGCTTTAGAAACCCTGTCCAAATCTTTAGCTTCTCTAATTGGGGTGCTGGTAGGCAGATGCTAATCCTCTAGACTCCAGTGTGCCCCTTATAGCATCATTTCCCTTTAAACACTCTTGAATCACTTTTATGCTGTGTCATTCTGAGTTAACTCATACCTAATTGACTGAATTCTCTCATTTTCAAGGCTTTCTGCTAAGTTCTGAAATATAAAGTGAGCAGTCCCAGTAGTCATGGCTTTTATAAACTTACAGTTTTCCTGAAGAGTACTTGGTGCTATTCCATGCTGCAAACACCCAATTGTTTCCAGATTGTTTTCAGAAAGACTTGTATGTTGGCCTTGTTATTGTCATAGTCAGATATACGGAAATGAATCCAACATGGGTATATTCCAAGTGTATATGGACGTTTGGAGTGAATTAATTTCTATCAAGTAACAATCATTTTTAAGAATCTATGGCATACAAAGGGCAGTAAATACCAGTTTTTGTGGTTGTGATTGGACATTAGAAATTCAGAAAGTTAATGACATTGGAGAATTCCGGGAGACAGTAGAAGCAGGACATTGCTCTTTTTATTAATTGCAAACAAAGTCAAATGATTTAAAATGTCATACAATTATTTGGAATGGCCACAACAGTTACTAAGGTATGAATCTGGGAGGCTGGTAGTGTGTCAGAGAAAGCCATATATTGGCTGCTCAACATCTCCATCTCAACTTTGGTTTGTGTATTAGTGACTGTTCTGTTGCTGTGAAGAGGCACCGTGACAGACACTTTATAAAAGAAAGCATTGAACTGAAGCATGCTTGCAGTCTCAGAGGGTGAGTTCATGACAATCATTGCAGGTAGCATGGCAGCAGGCAAGCAGGCATGGCACTGGAGCAGTAGCTGAGATCTTACATCAGGCTGTGCCTAATTTGGGCTTTTGAAACCTCAAAGCCCACCGCCAGAGGCACACCTTCTCCACCAAGGCCACACCTCCTAGTCCTTTCTAAACAATCCACCAAGTGTGAACCATATATTCAAACATGTGAGCCTATGGGAACCTTCCTAATTAAAATCACTTGTTAGTTGATAACAGTAACTTGTTCTGGGATTGAAGCCATGGCCTTGGATGTGTTGGGCAAGTGCCAGAACCACTGGACTACAAGCCTACCCTACAAATGTAGTAGCTTGTGTGACATGATCAAATAATGGGCCTTGGGCTTAGAACATAAAAGTTGCATCTTTTGAAAGGTCACTGAAAAGAGAGCCACTTGAAGCATGGTTAGGATTATTTTCAAATCTGATGATTTGTCCCGTTTTCAGAATATGTTTTCTCTGGGTTGCAAAATAATCTTGAATTTACTATTAGCATAGGATTCCTGGCCTAAAGTGAGTGATTTTTAGAGGAGAAGGATCTGGGGTGGGGTGGGGAGCACAAAAAAGATAAGGTACAAAAGAATTGGGGTTAGAGTATACTGGGCATGAAATGATAGATAT